GCTAACTATTTACATAAATTTTAAATGTTTGTGTGTTTTGCTACACTATCGTGTACTCTCTCTGTAGCCTTTTGGATGTCTCTTAACATTGGTTCTGTCAACATGTGTATTTCAACCTCTTCTGCTGCGATGGAGTGGTAGGGGTCAACGGACTCTCATCTGATGGCTCTCCCGAGCTGCCAGTATGTGGCCTGTGCCTGGGCATGTTTCTATCTTTTGGAGCCACAGCGTACTGTACAGTAGGAATGGGGGTCACAGTGATGGGACGAGGCTTAAACGTGGATGGCGTCGATAGTCTTCGGCTTTTTTCCGGTTCACTTACTGATCCTAGGATGGGAAGAAATAAAAAAAAATATTAAATACGTGTAATGTAAAAGTCACCAGTATATATGATTATTAATTTTTATATTAATTTTCATTTGCATTTAATTTCACTATACCAATTATTGTAAAAGGATTAATTATTCACTGGGTTTTAATTTTGCTTATTTCGCTGACTGGAAAATGCGCTAAATTAAAACCAATGTAAAATTTAGCATAGAACACATTATCTAAATGATAAAACCGTGAATTTAAAACCCTCTGAATATGCCTGAAATGGGAAATCAGCGAAATTTAAACCCAGTGAAAATTAGTCATTTTACAGTATATTGTAAGATCTACATGTTCACATGGATTTAAAATTTAGTGAATTTTACTTATCAGTGTAATTAAAATCTAGTGAATAACTAATGATTTTACAGTAATTAATCATAATTATATTTTTGCTCTATTAGAAGTATTTGGTCTTATTTACTTTACAGGTGTGTTTCTATGGAGATAGTAGACCATATTTTAATGATTCAGTGAACAAAGCATGTTACATGCTAACTCACCAAACTGAACACATCACAGTGTATTCAATTTGTGTAAGTATTCTGTTCATACATTCACATGCAAGTGCCCCCCCCCCTCCTCCTCTACCACACAAATCAGTATGCATGACTCTTTTTCACAGTTTGTGAAATTAACTCAGTTTGATTTAGACATTTTTATTCTCAACAAAATAAACAGCTACTCTGGGGCAAACCAAACAAAATTTGTCTTAAACTGTGTAACTCAAAATGCAAATATGCAGGACAATGTATGTGAAATAAATTATTTATCACTACAAAAACTAATGACAAGTTTCCACTGCCTTAAAAACAGTTTAGGGCATTATTTTTATTCCTATCTACTGGGAACTTCTTACATTCAATTTTTTTGTTAAGCAATACAAAATTTCACAATTGCTTTCTGGATTTGGATTAATAACAATATATTTTAAAAGGATGATTTTAAGGAAAACAAGAAGAAATTATGAATATATTTGGAAGAAGTTTGACAGTGGTGATGAATTGACCAATCACAACGGTAATAACACATACCTCCATGTGACTTTCTTCTGGACTGAATTGGCTCAGCATCACTGTCTGTGAAGCCGCTTACAAGTCCTCCACTACCGAGTGTACCTGCTCGGCTGTCACACTGGTATGATAGGTATCCCTCTGAAGGACTTGACATATCTCTTGACGCTGTGTACGTTAGATCTTCTGTTGGGCTGTTGTTACTGCTACTGCTGCTGCAGCTACTCTCGGGTCTGTGTACGTAAACGACCATAAACTTAACTTGACTATAAACACAAAATACAACCAATCCAACACCATGCACATATTGTGAAAGTAAATACAAATCAAAAGCAAACACAACCAGAATTTTAATTTTATTGAAAGTCACAACAAATAAAGATTGCAATTTGTGATGGATGGAAAATCATGATTAAAATTTGCAGTAATTGTCATGCACCAAAAAAGATGAAATTTGAAAGAATAAGTGTGAAAATAATATAGGAGTGAGAAAATGGATAGAAAAGAGAAAAATGCATGAAGAAAAAAAAAAAGCAGAAATTAGTATACTGACAGCTGATGATGAAACAAGTGATCACATATGCATGTTCTCAGATGTTATGTTCAATTCATGAGGAGTCATTTGACAGCATTCAGATTTTTGTTTGATGAAACAAAGTATTTTATACCCTTGTCTTTTAAAATTTTTACAAAATTCCTCCACTAGTCAGGGAATGACCCAAAAATTACTTACCGCCTCTGTCTTCTGATTGGTCCTCTTGTTGCCCTGATAACAGGCCGACCAATAACATGGGCTCCCTTTTTTTGTTGTCGCCTGGGTGCCCGATACCTCGGCGGTCTATAAATAGCTACCGGAGGATGGTCAGGTGACTCAAATCCACTTGCATCCCCCGATTTTCTTGTTCTTCCAGGCAGAATGGGTTTTGAACCTAAAGAAGTTGAATTAAAATGAAATTTCAGACTACAAAACTTTTGAAGTTGTTTGGAATTCAATAAAACTATAAAGTGGGATAAAAGCATGTGCCTTGATAAGTCTCTACTAGATTTCATTAGTCTAGAAAAAATTCTGTAAACCTAACAACTTTTTTAAGATGTATTTAATTTTTTGGTTTAGTCAGATTTCACGTTCTTTATGTTCATAGTTTTGTTCATTTGTTTGATTGTTCTTATGACACTGAGTGTCAGTGATTTTGGTGATATTTTGTCTTCCCGATTGTTATAAAATCCTAAAATCAAGAATATTCTTATCATCGAAAACTAAGCAGTTTGCATTATAGCACCACATGGTAACTTCATTTGTTAAAACTATATATTAAAACATACTGTAAAATCTTTTATTTTCACTGACATTTAATGTCACTATTTTGATGCATATTCATTATGTTTTAATTTCACAAAATTGTCATGGAAACAATAAGTTTTATTGTTATTTTACATGTTCACATAGATATAATTTATCAAATTTTATTTGTCAGTGAAAATAGCAAAATTAAAACCCAGTGAATAATTAATGCATTTACAGTAAACATTGTAGCAAAGTTTAATTTATATTGTATGAGGAAATGAAACAAGTACACTTTACCTGGGTTTTTATTGGATGGCTGATATGACGAATTACTATCCTTCCTTTCGGGGACATACGGCAGCGGCGGTGACGCTGTGAAATGCCGAATGCCAATATCCATATCACTTTGACTTGCATACTCTGGAGGTACTTGCGGTGTTGACCTCGGCGTTGCATGCTCACTGTCGGTTCTCAAACCATGGGCGTTATCTAAAACCTGTGACAGTTCTTCCTGTGCAGAGGACGTTGTTCCTGATGACACAATACTGTGCCGATGCCTCTCTGTAGAAAACAAAAGTAACATTTAGTATATGTATTTTTCAAATTATCACTTAATCAGCATGGAGGCAATATATGGGTTAAACCATTGTGTCCAAGGAGGAAAATTATGTCAGAAATGCCTACCTTGCAAGGGTGTCCCCCTGTGTTTTATAAATGTTCCTGAAAGCTGCGGGACATATAAATCCTTCGGTCTTTTAGGAACAGGTGGTGATTCCAAGACATCGTCAAGACTGGCATATGTATGATTGTGTGGCGAAACTGTGCCACATGCAGCCAATTCGCCACCCGCTGCATAGCATGCTTCACGGAGATGCAGACCACTGCTTCCCTCGTCACTTCCTGAAGCATAAATACTTTCTTCTGAGTTTGGATTGGATGACTGAAACGTACTCAGAGTTATTGTTCCACTGGGTCTTGCGCGTGTCATTTCCGGTGAAGAGTCTGGCGATTCCTTTAACATTGGTGGAGCAGCGGCAGCACTTGCTAACAAACGATTCTCATCAAGTTGAACTGGGCTATACACCCAGGGACGAGAACGTTCAGCTTCTGGACGGCTATCAGAGGACTCACCCGATGGAGAATTGTTCAACGTGACCCCTGGCTGTGACAGGAATGGCTCCTGTTCTGATGTTGCCGTGGCAGCAGCAGCAGCAGCTTGACTAGGGGGATCAGTAAAGTTGCGCTTTAGACTATTCTGTCGACTGAAACCAGCAGCCCCACTAAAAGAAATTAAAAATTTGATTAAAATTTGATTAAGTGAAAGTAAAACAAGTTTGAACAAAATCCATATGTAAACAGCCAAGAAATGCTTGATTTTGATGATTTTTTAGCACAAAAATGGCCACCATTCTGCCATCTTGAATCAGATCGTGAAACAAATTGACGTGCATATGTATATTATCATGTATGATGTATGTGTGAAGTTTGATTATGATTCGTCTAGGCATTTCTAAGATACAGGTCCGGACGCACGCACGGAAGCACGGATGCACAAGGGTCAAAACATAAGTCCCGTTTTCAGACTGCATTCGAACGGAGACTAATAAAGTCACAAGAAATTTTGATCAGAAACTGAATGAAAAGAAAACAAAGCAAATCCTCACCTTTCACCTTGAGCGGCCAGAGCTGCTAAATTACTTATTTTTTTGGCATTCTTGGCTTTCCATCGCCTCCTACTTCTCCGATATCCCATAATAGTAACAATCAACGTGACAACTAATATGGTGATACCGCCAAAGATTGGTCCCATGATTCGTGGATCTTCATAGAACAACAAACCATTCTTATGAGCTTCTAGATGCACTATGATTGGTGGAATAGTACCTAGAAATTGATTGGATAATATATGGTCACATGATGGAAAACCTACAATCTAATTGGCTGAGTTCAAGTAAGTGTTAGGCACTTGTTTATAAAACACTTTTACATGAAATATGCGTGTTATCCTATTGGTTGAATATGGTCACATATAAACCACATATTTGGCTTCACCAATCACTTGATTTTAATATTACTCGGCAGTTGAATATATTTAACATTTTTTATTTTCTACTTTTCTCTAAATAAAGCATTATTATATTATTATATGATCTACAAATTTGAATAGAATGTAAAACATCACAATGATTGAAAAAAATATAATCATGATATTACAATGAAATTTTTAAAATGGGAAAAATTATAATCAACACAGGAATACAGAAACCAAATATTGAAATGATACGATGTAGGACTATGATACCACATGAGGGCACTTCACCATAGTTTCCCCATTATTTCAATGGTAGTTGTGAAAGCTAGAAAGCCACACAATGGTACCACCCCAATTTGAAAAAAAAAAAAAAAAATACACAATACTGATTGGTCAGATAAACTAAAAGAAAACTTAATGAGGTATAACACTTAGTAGTGGAGACTTACTACCGTCATATTTAAGTGTAGCAACCGTGGACTCCATGGTGCTTGGTCCTGCTGCGTTGTATGCAGTCACTCGTATTATGTAGTGAGTGGCTGGTCTCAGATCATGGATCGTGAAATCGTCTGATGAAGGGACTTCATTTGCCACAAGATTCCAATCTGGTTGTCCGTTGAATTGGTACTGGATGGTGAATGATGTGATTTGGCAGCCACCACTTTGCCACGCTTTCAGGTAAACCGTGACAGATGTTGAGTTAACCTCTTTGACAAACTGGCTAGCATGGGGTGCAATAGGTGCTGAAAGGATAAGAAACTGTTGTGAATGTCCGTTGATTTGAATTGGATAAGTATATCATTATTTTTAATGTTTAATGATGTCATGATGTCACATAATATGTTTTGATTCCAATCAGTGATGTCATGATTTTAAAATTGAGTGATCAATCAGTGATGTCATGATATTAATAAGATGACATAATTTCCACCAGTGATGTCATGATATTAATAAGATGACATAATTTCAACAAGTGATATAATGATATTAATAAGATGATATAATTTCAACCAGTGATGTCATGATATTAATAAGATGACATAATTTCCACCAGTGATGTCATGATATTAATAAGATGACATAATTTCAACAAGTGATATAATGATATTAATAAGATGATATAATTTCAACCAGTGATGTCATGATATTAATAAGATGACATAATTTCAACAAGTGATATAATGATATTAATAAGATGATATAATTTCAACCAGTGATGTCATGATATTAATAAGATGACATAATTTCCACCAGTGATGTCATGATATTAATAAGATGACATAATTTCCACCAGTGATGTCATGATATTAATAAGATGATATAATTTCAACCAGTGATGTCACGATATTAATAAGATGACATAATTTCCACCAGTGATGTCATGATATTAATAAGATGACATAATTTCCACCAGTGATGTCATGATAATAATAAGATGACATAATTTCAACCAGTGATGTCATGATAATAATAAGATGATATAATTTCAACCAGTGATGTCATGATATTAATAAGATGACATAATTTCAACCAGTGATGTCATGATATTAATAAGATTACATAATTTCAACCAGTGATGTCATGATATTAATAAGATGACATAATTTCAACAAGTGATGTCATGTTATTAATAAAATGTCCAGTGATATAATATCAGCAAGTGATTAATCTTGTATTTTCATTTAGGGATGTTGTATTTCATGATGAATGAGATTTAATACCTGATCCTGCTGTTGTGGTTTCTATGATAGAACTGCTGTCTCCATCGCCAATCATATTAAAGGCAACTAAGTAGAATTTGTATGGTGTTCCACATATCAGATCCCCCAACCTGTAAGAGCGTTCTTTGGAATCAAGTATGACCCGTTCCCAGCTTCCATGATCTCTTTTATAATGAAGTCGAAATCCTGTAAATAATGTTGGGTATTAATTTAACAAATCTAGAATGTGTGTTTCGCTTCTATGTTATAGTGATAGTTATAGAGTAAACTTTAAAATTTATGAAAGCTGACAGGACCGATAAATAAAATATTAAGGAAACATTGTAGGTAATCGTGGTTATTGGTAATTCATTCAATATAACCAGATGTTTCAGACAAAGCATCCTTTCTCAATGATAGATATGAATAAATTCATAGCTATCAAAAGGAAACTTTGTCTAAAACGTCTGGTTTTATTGAATAAATACTAAAAACTACAATTACCTACAGCATTTCCTGTATGTCACAAAAGCGAAGACGCTTATTGTAGGATAACTGGAGAATTGTATAAAAAATGGGGCTTGCTATGGTAGAACAGCATGGACTGCTGAGTACTGGGTAGTCCTCTACAATAAAACTTCGGCTACAGAATGGAAATGTGGTGATGCATGCAGTGCATCTACATTATGATCAGGAAAAATCAATAACTAGGTATAAAATGGTGTGAAAATACATAACATTGATAAGAAGATTAAAAAAAATATATACTAGAGATATATGTTCACCTTTGATGGGGCTTCCTCCATTGCTACCGCTGGTCCAATTCAACTGTATAGAGGTGACGGTCGTCAGAGACACAGACAAACGTGGAGACTTTGGTGGAGCTGTAACGTAAATGAAAATGGATTAATATAGGTCATTGTCATAGCGATGACCTGAGAACCTTGCCACCATTTTGAAAAATAAAATAATGGGTGACTCCGTCAACAATGACAACTACAAATGGATTCTAACTTGTTGTGATCATGGCCAATGAAATTTGAACCTCTCACCAATCATGTAGATGGGAAATAAACAACAATAGTATGATGTATTATCTCACCTAAACACCTTATTTCTCATTTCTATAACCTTAATATATGTGTTCACAATTGAATTACAACACAGTTACTGTTTGTTAGTTTGTTACTGATTAGTGATGCGAGTGTAAATACCACACTCGTATATTATTTTATTTACACGCGAGTCTATCAAGTATATTTCCGTTCCTCGCATGCCGTACTTACATTCAACCTCTCTGCTCACTAGAGAAGTGCGTGAGTGCAACAGGCAAAATAAGGTAATAAATGCAACATGGTTAATTCATGCATAAGTAAATAAAAACAAGCAATTTTTTTGTCTTTGTCAACTGATCTCAACGATTCGGTTGCCATCATTACAAATCTCCTAACAGATTATACTTTTTTTTACATTTAATAAAATAGTATAAACAATTTTACTTTTACGAGACAATTTGGGGGGAATTTTTTTTATTTTTTGACTTGAGTGTTTATAAAAGTCACATGTGGTAACCTTTGTCTTCATGAACCTCTATATATGAACAGTGAATGGAAATGTTATAATTTAGTTCTGATGAAAGTCCATTCTTTCTTAATATTTTCACTACCACACTTTCTCGCCCAAATTATTCTGCACTTTTTTTCTTATAATTCTTCAATATTTTTTGGGAAATGAACCTAATTTTCAAGCCAACAGACAAAATTTGAGTCAATTTTCAGCTTTTACTTAAAATGATTGGCTATTTTTCTCTTCTGAAGGAAAGTGCAGACTATAAACAGTACTACTTTGTGATTTAGTGATGAAATAAGGGAACTGGGGGTGAAAAGGTTAATAGAAACTTACTATTAACGAATGTGAACGTTTTAAACAATTTTGGTAGTTTGCCGAGCGAAAGGTCCCATCAAATAAATGACAAAAATGAAATAAAAATCAGGGGTACCTGAACTTGTTTCTATGGAAATGATGAATTTGAGATTCTACATCATGGTACTGTTTATCTTTATAGCCATTTTGGAATTAACAGAACGCTCTATAACATAATTTAGTTTTTCTTTTGAATTTGAAACAACCAAATAAATTTTCGCATATTTTTAGGAAATATCTGCCCCTGAATTGTGGTAACCAAGAAAATCTTTAATATATAATATAAAAATCAGTTGTATGTTTTATTCAGTCAAACTGTAATAAATTGCAACCAAATCTATGAGATCAATTTCTATATGCAAATAGAGTCCAGTGGTTAATATATTCATTGTATTCAATCCCTCTATCCCATAATAGGCCTCATACATGACCTCTAAAGGTCACACATCCTGGCACTTTCTGCTCACATTTTTTTTGCCCCAATGAAAAGTACCAGGATGTTTGACCTTTAGGGGTTATGCAACATTTTAATTCTCTATGACTCAGAAGAAGATAGACTATCCATTCTCAGAAAGTGAGTAAGTTTACTGCAACGACCTTTTCACCATCATTAGTTGTATTTGTTGTTTCAAGCTCATGCAGATCATCTACATGTTCATCTCAAGGTCAAGTACAACAATTAAGTACATCATACAGTGCAGATATAAAGTATCAATTCCTCTCAATAAAATTTTACTAAGTTCAAGTACAAACAAAATTTATTGTGTGCATGGAAATATACCACATCTAAATTTTGTTAAAAACATGTTAACTTTAAAGTAAAGTAGGCCCTCTATGGCAAAATTGAAAAACTCAACCTCAAAACCTTGAAAATTAGTAAATAAAATCACTTGTCATTTGCCATATTCTGAAAATATAAAATTGTCCAAATAGCCCGAGAGAATACAGCTTCATACGTAATCAAACTGCAACTCGTTACTTTCAAAATAGGCAAATTAAAATCCAATTGTTCGATTTTTATTTCAGACAAATTATATCTACACTGTTTACAAAATGTAATACACAGTAATTCAAAAAATATAAACTATGTTTATAAGCTGGCTTGAGCATGATGATTTCAATATACAGTTAAATGCTGCCATCTACAGTCAGGTTGAAGAAATCTTTTTTTTTTCTTTGGATGCAAGATTACAATGAATACATTGTCAGCAGTAATAATTAGTGTTAGTTAGTAATAGTTAGTAATGGTTAGTAAATCATTCCAGCAGCGTGTAAACAGAAATCCGTGGATGGCTTGCAGAAGAAAGTTGTTAGTAGCATGTGATAGATGATAGACATATGCACTGTCACTTGCACAGACATATTTGTGCTAGACAACTTCTTTCATTGAAACACACACATTTGTGCAAACAAATATTATAAGTATTTATCTAAAGTGTGTTATTTTCCCATAGCTGTATGTGATGAACAAAATTATCCAATCAATAAAAAGCACTGAACATATAATCAATCATAATTCATATGTTCTAGGTAACCTTAATATATCCTAGCAACAATGATGCTGTTGCCATAGTAATACACTCATTCATCTAAATCCCCATCTAAAGTGACACAGTGTTCAGCCTCTTGTAAATTGTGTAAATTTTCAACCAAATTTTGACCAAATTAGTCGCAATTGGCAATTTCTAACACAGTTCTCCCACCATTCATGAAATCAGAATCCAATCTCTCTAACTACGTTGCAAGTCTAGAGCTGAGTCGAAACATATATACAAGGCAGAATTCATTACATTGAAAATAACCTGTTAACAAACAAGCTGCTCGCTGATTGCTCGGACTGTAGGATGCACTCTTGTACTTAAGCACACCATCATAATCATGGAGATTTGAAAATCATATTCATATTGTACCAAGTATGATTTTAAGAACATATTGCCAGTTGAGAATTTCATTTGATCCTATATATAAATTACACTAATTGAACCAATCAAACAAAAAATGACATTCAAATATGTGAACACTTTTATCCTGGTAAATAATGAATGTTTTGTATGAATTATAACTTAGTTCTTATCTTACCTTGTACTTTGAGTTGGACCAGTATTTCATCGGTACCCCAGTGATTATGAGCGCGACACGTATAGTTTCCAGCATCAAGTGGTTGGGCTCCTGTGATGTAAAGTGATCCATTCTGATACAACTGTAAATGATCAGTCGGCTCAATAGCGGTGGTAAGCCTAGATGAAAATAACATTTCAGTAGAGGTGGATCATTGTTTGTTTGGCCACAAATCATGAAATATTGGAGCACTGAAACTGCACTGAAGAATGTGGTGCCTAATCACTAAACCAAGATTTTTAATATTGTAATCACTTAAGGGTTTTCTAAATTCGATTTTATGATTCTTTTGGATAAGGTTTCCAAAATGAATGTTCATTAGAAAAATTTGAATCAAAGGATACTTGGAAATGTTTATAATCAGTTGTAAGATGGTAGCTGTCATATATAACCAAACACAAAATTTACTTTTAATCATAGTAACCAATGACTCAAAATCACCATTTTCATGGATGTTTCTTTTTTTGTCGAAAAAGTCTGTAGGCAACCATATGGTTTCACAGTACACGTACTATGCATCTTCAAAGAAAGCGGGTCTTGCCTCAAACTGAAGAACGTTAAACTATGTATATATCCACTGAATTTTAAAATAAGAGGTGCATTCACTTCACATGATTCATTGTAATTGAACACCTACCTATTTCTTCTCCATTCAACTGTTGGAATCGGGTCTCCCACGGCAACACAAGGGATTTCCACATCTTGTTTCCATGGCGTTGTCAGGATCAACGGGAAAGATGCGATCCTAGCAGCAACTGAGAGTAATGAAAGGAGAATTCATGAATTCTAAAATGTACCAAAAAATAACTTTTAGTTGATGTATGAAGAGATGAAATGAAAAGACACAGTTTGGTGAATCTTACCTCTCTGAAGGAGTATCTCCGTCACAATCCTTGAGGGTATCCCCTCCCCAACGATCGTTGATGCAGTGACCCAGAAGTCATATTCATAGTTCGTTTGGAGATTAGTTATTGTATGGTACAGTGTCACAGGAGGTGGCGCCAGGACGAGTTCTTCAGTCATCTGAGTAAAAAAGTAAGTCTATAATACATTTTCAATGCAGCAATAGAGGCGTAAATGTAAATCAACCAAGATGCGAGGAGTTGTTCGTCCATTACAGTCTGGGTAGTAAATTAACCCCCGGTACTTGGCAAAGTCTGATATAAAGGATAGATTGTAGATCAACTAGTCTAATTTTAATTCAAATGTAGTCAATTAGTTGAGTTAGGGATTGCAACGTGCATTTGTGAGTAAAGTATTAGGGTATACAGGGTTTTGTTATCAGAAGATGATACCTGCATACAAATGTATAATGACCCATTATAACATGCACATGCAATATTTCTGACATTCAGAATAAAAAACAATTTTTAAATATTTACATATTTGGCAACATACTACATGTAGTATACTTTATGTTAATATGCTATTTAAAATGCTTTAACACATAATTTGCTGAAAACTTTCATGGATAGTGTTTAATTAATTGTGTGCAGAAAGGTAACGTTTGGGATGATTTGTTTTGGAACTTCTAGGTATTGACACACACATGGATGTACAATGACATAAGTACAGAAAACATATTATGGTATACCTCCAGTAAGAATATGAAAGATAAACTGGAGGATAAATCACGAATTAACATACCTCAGTGTTACCTTCCTTGTAGCGAGTGTAGACAGTATATTTTGTGATTATTCCATTTGGATAGAGGGGTGGCAGCCAGGAGAGCATCACACTGGTAGGAGACTGTGAGTGTGCTTTCACGTCGGCAGGTTCCTCAGGAACTACAGAGATAAAGTTCATTAGTATACAATAATCATTATTCATAAATAAACCCCTGGCTAGTCTTTCCCAGGGTTCTCTGAATAAAATAACAATGACACTCGGAGACACTTAAAGTCAGAATATAAATTCACCTCATTAAGGGAAGCTATCAACCCTGCATGAAGAATGGACTTTCTCATGTCCAGACATTTTCTAATTACAAAAAACAGTAAGTCCTATTCCAAATTACTGACTATATTTTGTTCATTACTTGAAAATTGCTACTAATGATTTATTCATATTTATTCAAATCACTATAGCTGGTGTCATGGCAACAATTTTATATATAAACATACCATCTTGCTGCGTTCTAATGAAGATCGGTTCACTCCGTACTCCTTCCCCCATTCTGGTGTACGCAAGTACAGTGATACTGTAATTACGAAACTTCTGCAGGCCATAAATGTTAGCTCGCAGGGCTTTTGTCTCTTGCGTATGTGTTTGAGTCTCATCCTCGTCATTCGTTACTGGTTTGTAGATGACCCAGTAACCTTGGAGTATTCCATTCAGTGACTGTAGGGGTGGTGGTCCCCACACCAACATGATGCTGGTAGAACTGAGTGCAGTCGCTTGTACCATCTGTGGTGGCTGGCTTGGAACTATCAAATAATGATAAATATTAAAACAATTTAATTGTTTATAAAAAAACATAATATATGTTGTAAATGTTCAACTAAAACTACTACCTGAGTTTAATCATTAGACACAAAAAAAAATGTTTTATTTTGTCATTATTTTGTTTTTTCTTTCAGTTTAATTTTTTACAATATTTCGGCAGAATAGCCTATTACCATAGCAACCTACCATCCTCCAATGTCAGAATTACTTGTGGTGGTGAGGCTGGTCCTGCACCTCTATTATTGAATGACTGGATGACAATGCTGTATTTGGTGAATTTCTTCAGCTTTCGTAGCGTGTATGTTTCTATATTTCGTGTTTCCACGTTCACTGTGCTATACAGATAAGGATCGGTGGTATTGAATTCCTTATACCCAATGTAGTATCCCTGTAGTATGCCATTCTGTAAATCTGCCCGTGGTTGCTAGACAATAAAAACATATAAAATGCGTCAATTCGTGATGCATAAATAACAAAATAGGCGTTTTTGAATTTTCTCGTCGATTCAAAACGGACATACTGTAAAATACTTTATTTTAGCTTAATTCAATTTTTGCTGAAAAGACTTTTTGTGTGTTTTTCATGGAATTTAATTTCACTGATTTTTGGTGAGTTGAGTGTCAAATATAGAAAAACAGGTATATTCACTGCATTTTATTTTCACTGAAACACTCCTTCAGCAAAAATAGCGAAAATTAATTCCAAGCAAAAATAAAGTATTCTACAGTATATAAGCTTTACATTGCCTCATAGTTTAATTAGGATTTGAACATTGCAATTAATTTTTCCTGGTTTGTCGCAAATAAAATAACTCTAAGTTAGGTAGTGACATTTTTGGGACTATTTCATACGTCAGGATACATACATTTGTAATTTTGTAATGGTGTTTATATACCACCTGATCACAGTGTATTTACAAAAAATAGTGCAGTTGAAAAAGCTGAAAATGGTGGAACAAGCAATTTAGAATCGCAAAAACTCTCTGGTTTCTTCGATGTTCTATGTGTTCCTGAGTCAACATATCACAGCAATATTTTAATATTGTCTTTATCATTAAATAGACCAAGCACTCACCCGCCAACGTAGCAGGACTGTCTGAGATCCTGTAGCCTCCAGTTCAATATTTAACGGAGGTCCAGTGGGAGCTACAGAAAAATAATATGTGGTATTTAACCCATGATGCATTTCAGCTCCCAAGACAGGAAGTCAAATGACCTGTCGTGATAAGCAGGGTTCAAAATACTTGGATGGATGCATGTATAGACCTGTATAGTATTTGGGGGAATTCAAGTCAGCCTATACTGTTGTTTTTCAGTCTTGCCAACATTTCTATTTTTTTTTTATTATTATTCACATTATTGGGTAATCTATGACTATTTTTTAAAAATGAAATGCGTAAATTTGTTTAAAAAAGTACTAATCATCAAGGGAATATGTTATGTGAAATATTCACTAATTTAATTACCTTATAAAGAAAGAACATAATTTGCATAATTGTTTAATTGTTTGCTATTTGTGATCTCTAATTCAATTTCCCAATGTAGGATGTGGGCTTCATTGATAAAACCGGTTACCGTGTCAACATATTATAAAATGGCAAATAGAATTAAATGAAGTAACCTGTACAGGGACGTGCCAATAATTATTAAAGTGTGCCTGAAATCAAAGAGCACATCACAAAAAAAAAATCAAATTAATTTGCTCTCTGTCCGGGTAAAATATTCAATTCATAAATGAGTATAAATCACAAATTTGACGTAATATGTTTGAAAATTACCAATACAGATGCCAAAGTGGTCTCAAAGCTGCACAATATTTTATTGCATTTTGTTTTCAATAATTGCTGGTATTTTTAGCTCATTTTCAATTTTCAATCATGTTTTATGTCATAAGCAATGCTGGATTAATTTGAAGCTGATCAATATAGGGTATATAATCCACAAAATTAATTTCTACCAGTTTAATTTTCTTCTCAAAAGGCATTTAATGAAAAAAAAATGAGACTATAGTCGTCATGAATGTGAACAGTGTCATTATTTAAAGTGAAGTACTCACCCTCTTCTAGTGTAGTGAAAATCGTATCTTGACTTGGCTGACTGACACCGATAGCGTTAAAGGCATAAATGCGTATGTTATATGTGTAATACGGATGAAGCCCCTCTATGGAGTACGTTGTTTGGTTGAATTCAGCACGTGCATTTGGCAGCCCACCCTGCCACGCATCAGAATCGTTCTTATATTCCAGTGTGAAACCAGTCAGTGGACTGTTGCCGTCAAATTCAGGTTTCCAGCTCACGATGACGGAGCGGCTTGATCGACTGATAATCGTCAAATTGCTAGGTGTTTCTGGTGATTCTAGAAGCAAGAATACCAACATTATCAAAGACTGCTTTAACATTGTAATAAAACTAATATTCACAATTTACGTGAATCAGGAATAAAATGATTATGGTTCTTCTATTTTTTCGGTTTGTGCTTACCAACATCAAGTACTATGCAATATATATGTAGGTAGTTCAAAACATTGCTCATGGTGAGAATTTTATAACTTTATCACGCCTAGAAACTTTAAATCCTGACCATGACATGATTTTGACAATTGTTTGTAAAAAAAAAAATGCGTACCTTGTATTATCAGCTCTATCGTCTTAACATCCGTACCATAAGGATTTTCGGCATTACACGTATAATTCCCACTGTTTTCTCTTCTGGTTTCATAGACCTCAAGAGTCGACTGGGTATGTTGATTATCAATATGTCTAGTTTGAATTGAATAGAATGTTGTTGCTAATCGCGTGTACAGAACGCCATCTTTCTTCCAGTCAATCGTCATAGTTTGGTGACCCTTTGCAACACACGTCATCGCCACAGTCTCACTCTTCCTAACCATAATGGTCTCTTGCTGTGTCTCGAAATAAGCTGGAACTAAAAAAAAAAAAAAAAAATCGCGCTTTTAAACCATAATATTTATCATCAAAAAGTTGATAAAAGTTTTTTTTATTAGATTTGTTAAATAAAATAGTAAAATGTTACTGTCCAAACTTGATTACAATTAATCCAAGTGGGTACTCAAACCAAAAATTACACAGAAAATCTGCCCTATTAAATAGCATAGTATCTGCCAAGCATTGGAAATATGGACCATACCATTTGACTTAGGGGTGATACTTACTATATACAGTGAGCTTGGCAGTTTTACTGTCTGATCCAACATCGCTGCTAATATGACACAGATAATAACCGTCGTCCACTTCTCCTGCCAGATTTATTGTTAAACTACCTCTTTCCTCTATCTTGTATCGTGGGTCTGGCGGCAGTGGGATAAAATTGGACGGCCCTGGACCTGAAATAAAATAACCACGATATGTGAAACACTTTCATTTCACAATTTAACTGGAAAGCCTCCGAAAGGGAGTCACAGCGGAGAAATTTCCAGTGTCGCCTTTCACAAAACAATTTGCATAATTCTGTTCATATTTCTTAAAATATTTTGGTCAAATAATGTGGCATTTGAAATAATAGACAAAAATATGCATAAATATTCAAAAATTAATTCGTGAATCTTTCAGAAGATAAAGCGTTTACTAGGAATACAAGTACAGTACAGCCTGTGCGTGTGTGCGTAACTTAACGCTCAAACTTACAATTATTCAAAGTGAATATTATTGTCATCAATAATTTCAACTTTTAGATATTCTACTTTGTTACTAATACGAGACAAATTAAGGTAAATTGCTAAGTACAATTTAGATATCCTCGGGGCGGACATCCGGGCATTTTCTACCGCCTGGCAATCCTCGCGATGAAAACAAAGACCAAAAACTCACAGAAAACGGTACTTTGCGATGGCTGTTGAGAGTCCCCTGAACAGTGTAACAAGATTAGCCCTACGTGTGTAACATATATGAATTTGGTTGTTCAGGATTACTTCAAAATTTTTACCGGCTCCACCGGCGTTCCACACAGCGCGCACAAAGCCCGTAGAAATACGTGGTACAGTGGTGCGCGTCTTAGCAACGTAGAACGTCTGTGACGTAGCTCCGCCCTCGAAGATATGGTGGTTTTAAAAAAGTTAAATTAACTTCAAGCCATCTTAATATGAGCTAAATTTTAAATTACGATCAGACTTCACTGTAAGACTGAAATATTCTCTGTTTATACTTTTTTTTAGTGAAATGCTTGATATGATTACCAGAAGTGTTTCAAGTTTGCTTTACAAGTTAATTAAGAAAAGACGAGAAGTTATTAAATTAATTTTGGGTAGATTTCTTCTAGTTTACACATGATTCAGTTCAAACTTGTTTTACTGCATATACATCATCAGTGCATCAGCAGTAATAGTGCACAATCTCATGGAAGAACTCCTTCAGAAAAAAAATGCAGTAAAAGTACATCTTTATCTTTACTCGTACATGTATGTGCCTCTGTTAGGAGACTTAAGTATTCAATTGATGTAGTTGTCGACACAATTGATGTAGTTGTCGACAATGTTGCTGTCTCCATGGTTACAATGTTAACACAATGAATCCCATAGCATCACAGAGTAGCAAAGAGCATATGGAGGAGATAGATTTATTTCTCTGGGCAGTATTGTGAACATACTGACGATGTTACAGATGATGGAGAAGAGATGGCAGATGATGCAGATTTGTTAAACACATTGTGGACAACAGCAACGTAATACACGTTGACGTGCCCCATAGTCAGTGACAAAGTAAAGATTTTACTTACCCAAGGCTTTTTTCCACTGAATTATGGGAGTTGGGGTACCAGCTGCTGAACAAGGTATGGTAACCGAATAATCAACCACTACTGAGGAATCTTGGGGAATATCATCAAATCGTGGTGGAACTACCATGAAGAAAACAATAAATAATTAATGAATACAAAATTAGAGTTGTTTTTTAATTGTTTTTTTAATTTTAATTTTAAAATAAATAACAGGTTTTTTTTTATTCACTTCTCAAACTTACCCAAGACAATTAATTCGCTGTTATAAGAGATACTAGCAGCATCGTTACTAACAACACAAGTATAGTTGCCCTGGTGAACCATCGAAACATCACTGATGGACAGTGTACTGCTAAAGCCGGTGTTTGTAATACTGATTCCGATACCAGGCGGTACCGGGTGACCATCTTTCTCCCAGGATATCGTAATAGGCATGTCCCCCTTGGACACCACGCACAGAACTTGAGTACGATCGCCCTGCCTCAGCATCGGTGGGAAATCAAACGGATCGATTTCTGGAGGAACTGTACAAGCAAGAAGATACAACTTAAATAGTTAGGTAAGTTTATTAGGCAAATTAGAGCCACTTAAAAAAAAAAAACGAATATTGCTCAGAAATACGAGAATTTTTTTGGTGTTGCCATGGAAACACTGTCGGTGCAGTTTTACGAAGGTTTCGCCAATAATTACCTTTAACAGTAATAAATACTTTTCGTCTGGTGCCTTGTCCTTGTGAGTTCCTCGCCGTACAAACGTACTCTCCTTCATCTCGACCTTTTTCAATGTTAGCGACGATCAACGTCCCGTTAGAGAACACTTCCTGTCGCAAGTTGGTAGGTAACGACTCCTCGTCTTTCCGCCATTCAATAACATCGAGGGGGTAACCGGCAACTCGACAGTGCATTACAAGATCTCTCCCTGCTACCGCTGTTATATTTGCCATCGGGCGAACGTAGGGCGTTCCTTAAAACAAAACAAAACAAAACATATGTAGCTGTGTTGTCGTAGATATAACTCGTTTGCGACATCATGTTAAATAAAAACAAAGAGGGCGCGCTTTTTAAATGAGTATTGATGAGTAGCAGACGACATGATTAATATAAATGACAAACACAGCAAAATTTACACTGACGTAAAACATTCTACAATACGCTCAGAAATGCATCGTTTATCTTTACATTTTTCTTTCGGTAACCAAATATCTCGGCTTTCTACATGCGGAGTGGGATGCAAAGTCTTATGTGTACTTCAAGTTCTGTAACACAATAATAACGGCTTTGGTTAATATAATACAGGGCCATTTTCTGTTCATCATAGTAGTGTAATTAAATGATTTATGGCACATTTGAGATTTCTATTCCAACGACATTTTATGCTGTCTATTTACCAATACATTACCGACTGAACGATAGCGTCGCCGAACAAGCCTGGGAGTAGACCCAACGACGGTGCGCGTGCATATCAAGTTGCAGCTGTATGTAAATTGTTCACCCCCGAACAATAGTTAAGGAACGAAATTCTCCAGAAAACCCTGGGTTTATTTTCTTTACTTTAGAACATTTTCTTTTATTGGAAGACCATGATTCCCTCCTTTGAGGTCATAAGTGGTAAAGTCGCGTGTCGGAATCGATCGACGTACTCATCGCTACTCGATTCCCAGGGGTAACAGCCGTCTTTGTGACTCGCTGTTTAAATAAAACTCGACTGCTTTCATATGAAGGGTTTACAGGAGAAGTACATGAAATACTCGATAGAACGCCTTGTAAGGCACCGAATTTGCGATTCCTCGCAGAATTGATACTATCTCCGCTGCATTAAAAACATTAAAAGCGCCAATGACGAAGGTCCGCATTCACATTTTAAGTTTCGTTGAAATATCAACAAAGAATAAAAGTTACCGGTCCCGGCAAAAAATATGAGTTTAAAGCGACAGATTGCCAGAGATAAGAACACCAAAACGCCGATTGTGCGGAAATAAATGAAACGTTTGTATTTTTGTTGCGTTAATCGATAGTGACTATTCAAGTATTTTTTAATAGGCTTCTATCAATGTGATTCCATCTGTTAGTTCTTTACTCCAATTTTAATGTTAGGCAAATTTACATCGAATTTAGGCGCGGTAATATAGTGGGAGAAATAAGGAGCGTCACACGGCAATCAAACTTCGTACATTTCATTTTAATTATTAGGACAACTTTCGAGCGAAATGAATCCAGTATAAAGTTTAGAATTCTCGCCGCGAACTCCCCTTGCTCTCACGTCAGGATGTTGTTCCCTTGGCGACGCTTCAAGGCGACCAGGTGCGGATGAAGCACGTATTGTATGAAAAGCCAAGTCATGTCTAATCACCATGCACGTATGGAATTTTAACACTTTTTTGAGGCGATGTTTGCGAACAACTCGCACGCCATCGTGGCTACCAAAGCAAGCTTTAAATATATAGGCGATTCCATTGATGGCGGCGGTCTTCTGACAAAATAATATAAATTTTAATACATTTATCATAGTAGTGTAGATTATGTCACAATTCTTGTGAGTGGTTATTCATTATCCTTATCAGAGTACATGTTTTTTTTATTTTTTTTCTACGCATGCCCTAAGCTGCATTAATTCTCTGTTCGCCAGGGATTAGTGATGCCACCCGAAAGGTAATGGTGGACAACATGACTGAAGAAAGTGCGTCATTTGGTTTCCACTAGATAATAAACAATGGGTATGAAATTGATTCATTTTCCCCATAATGCACCAGTCACATTTTCCAACAAATTGTACATATGTATAACGTGTCATGTTTCCAATGCACCGTTCGACCAGTGGGCAAAGCAATGAATGCCGGGATATGACATCAAATCATGATTGTCACCAGTGGCTGCCTCCGTCGTTTATGACGTATCCCAGTTCTAATATAGATAAACGATTTATCTTGTTTTCAGGCTTTTTATTCATTTTGGCAATTAAGTTAATTAATTGCTTGATTTTCCGAGCATGACAATCTTATTGAATCTCGGGCATACTGGGTAATGTAATTAATTGGATATCGTTATCCATGAAGGAATGGGCACGGCGATCATTCACTTCGAACATTATTTTGGCTGGATTTAACCTGAAACCAATATCATTTTAATCGTTTATATTCTTTTTCCGCGGGGTGACGCAATTTGATAAAGCGCAACGGTCGTCACGAAGTGCGCGTTCGACGGAGCTGTATTGTACACGCGTTGTAAAAGTCGCGTGAGACCCACGTTGAACACGACGAGGTGCGACCATTGTGGCGCTTTTATTTCAGTTTGTTCAAGATATTTGTTTGTCAGCTTTAGCTTATGACATAGATTGTCTTGGAAATGTTGTAAGAACCCCGCTGTCACTAAAACGTAGCTGCATTGCAAGCGACATGTGAAAATGCTTCAAAACAAAGGACGACTAATTCACATAAGGCAAAGTCACATTATAGAAGTGATGAGTGAAACAGACATGCCCCGTGCTTATTGACTTCATACACCCAATATTATTATTTTTGTCTGTCTCTTATACGCCTTAATTACTGGTAGTTGTTTATACGAGTACTGCAACGATTAATGTAGGCGGCTGCGTAGTATATGGAGTTCCGCTCTGAGGCATTCCATATTAAAAAGAACCCAACGCGAAAGCATGGATTTAAGAAGTCATCTAGATTTTTTCTTTCGTTTCTCCGCCAATGCTGCCCAACTTATCGGTATTTATATCGGTATGCCATACTCGTTCCAAGTTTTTGTATGTGAAACCCGTTAAACAAAGTGAAATATTGGCATGGCTTCAAGTCTCAATAAATGAATAGTCGTATTTTGAGAAAACAACATTGACTGTATACCTGCAAAGTCGAGATTCCGCGAGACATGAAGGAAATGTCGACGGTAATATTCGGATAGTTGTTTTTACTAAACTTATTCACTAACGTGTTAGCTTTTTCTACACTTTTTAACAGGACGACAGAATACATCTAACTCCATGTTTCGCTTCAAGTTCCACGTCTTCGTAAAAATGTGATTAGTATTTCTTCCACAGAACATTGACTCAAACTGATGTTTATTCGGTTCATATACAAGGTATTTGCTTATTCAACTGTGACTACGACTTTTGTAAGCCCTAGCTTGCCAGTGACCAAAGCGAGGCAACGAGTGTGCCCGTGCAAAGTGCATCGGCGATGCCGAACAATTATGGCAAATTGTTGAAAAAAAAACGTGGTAATAAATTTACCAAGCACGTTTTCAATGCTATTCCAATCACCTACACTGAACATGGTTGTCAGACGTTCGAGAGAATACCTCGACTATTTTAGTGAAAGTTGTAGCTGCCACTTTCATGGTGCGGTGGCGAAATTTCCCATTCACATCGGCAGAGCGGTTAGTGGACGACTGACATTGGGAAGTTGTGATTAGAAGTGCGAAATAATAATAATAGAATAATATGTGGTTTAATTTTGTTTCTTTTGAACATTGTTTAAAGTAACATATATTGTCTGTTTTGAACTAAAATCGGACCGACAATGACAATGTTTTACTCCCGAAATTACCAGGATGTACGACATCGGGTCTTTAATAATAACCAGGATGTGTGAGCTTCGAGGATATATTTTATGGTCGTTCTTCGCACTTGACAGAATCTATAATACATGCTTGTGGACAAGGCTGAGATTCATTGTATATATATTATACGGTATGCTCCAAGTCACAAATAAAATAGGATACGAATAAACTCTTGCTACAATGATTAACACGGCTTCTTCTAAATCCAGGAAATCTCTGCTTTCAAGTAATTCAAGTTGATATCAACAAGACTTTTTGTGCAGTACATTTGAATTAGGTAGTACAATGAGTATGAATCAAGTTAATATGACATCTTTGGGCTTTCGAGTGGCAATTGTAGTTAAGAGATATCACGACCGTGTGATTATTAATTCCTTTGGTACTTTTTTTATTTATTTTTTTAATTTTATTTTTGCACGCGTACGTGCACACCTCACAGCATGCACACGCGTACAAATTATGTTTAATTGCAAGCGGAGCTTCTGATGTGAGCGTTATGCTTTCAGGTACGGAGTATGGGTATTTTAAACGAATGTTCCTCGGTGGGGATTCCACTTATTTCGCATTCTTTATAAAATTTACCCGTAGGCAAATTTGAACTATACATTTAAAACGGACGACTGGGTTTACGAACTCTCTGTAGCTTAACAGATATGCCGCGAACGAATCGCGTGAGTGTACCACCAGCACCTCGTTTCGCGACGTTAATACTTTCTATTAAAAATCCGTTTAAATCTTAAATCAATAATACAATGACACCTCGTGTGCCACGTATAGAAAAGTGTATTTGGCTTTTAAAATACGAACGCGAAAGCTGGCCTTTGTGTGCCCCGCTTATCCACTATCAGGGACATTTCATGAAATGTACATTCTGTGAAATTATTCTGTCTGTTTAGTATCGTAATACACTGTGGTGTCAGTGGCCATGCAAGGCTAAGGGCAGCCGCCTAACCCGATCGTGTGTAATATGCGTCCTAAACCCGAGCGGCGAACCTGAATCACTGTCGATTGCTTCGCACGCCAGCGTTCCAGTAACGTGATCGACAAATCTGCAGTCTATATGTGCCGCAGTAATTCAATAAAGAAACATGAAAAGGAAATTCATCGTTACAAGAGACCCAACTGCATTACTTATAGTACATGGTAACCAATTTGACCCCAGTACCACGGCATTCGCATCCACGCCGGGGCTTAACTATTAAATGACAGTTTCCAATTACACGGCGACATTCCAAGAAAATATGCAATTGGGAATAAACGTTTTATTTTTCTATATGTCACTTGTGGTCGCGAAATTTAATTTGCTGAACGTTTTTTTATTTGTTACTGTTCTGAAGACTGAGCCCACGAATAGACAACGACTATTTAGCGCGTGGCACACAAATCATATGTTTACTATGTAAATAAAACGTGTTATTATAATTTTTAAATATTCATTAACGCGATGTTATCACTTTCTCACGATGTTTATCTGCTGCGCTATTCATATATGCTTTTCGCCCGCCGTACAAAAGGACATTTTGAGGGTTCGTTATTTCATTACTCATATAATTAATACTTTCCGTATACATACGCTACATCCCAGTGTCAATCAGAAACGTACAGTACACACACGCGCGATGACTGCAGGCAATTGCATTTGTTAGTGGCAAATATCGATTTTTAAATATCGTATAAAACCCGCGATCAATTTACGATTTAAATTGGCTCTTTCATTAGAGTGTTGTCGATTTTTATTGTGCTATGTGATGAGAGAATATCGTCATTGTGTGGTATGGCCCCGGCGCCAATGATATCTTCGGCGACGAGTGCAATTGACAGGGGTATAACGACGTCACAGTGACTGCTTCAAAAGTTACGCTTCAATAACAACAGGAAAAAAAAGAAAAATACCACTTTTTTATATAGACGGGTGCCATATTACCAGGCACTTTTGTCGTTTTAAGTGTATTTATTTCAGTTTCGTCAATATTTTAGCGAGTCAATTTGTAAATATGCCCCCTCCCCCAATTCACAATAACCGAGATTTCTTTTGAGGGTTTTGGTATGAATATTGATTGATAGTGTTACTGTATTTCATTTTGCCGCCAATCTGATTTATCGCTGTAATCTGTTAATGGCCACTGTACTCATTTTTTAATCCAATCAACTCACAGTAACATATTCCGTCCGCCAATTTCCGAAAATATCATTTCTGTTAATTCGAATCCCCTTAATAGAAATTACTTGATTAATAGAAAGCTTCAATAAAATGAGGAGCCTACAAAACCGAAATACTTGAAAATGCTTCACCGTATTATCTTACCGTTTCGTCAAATTTAATTCGACTGCCTTCACAAGCTATGCACGTTTGTTTTATGATATATTTCAGTACCTACCTGGCACACATAATAGCGAACGCATTTAATTCAGATCACACCGGTTACACATTTGAACTTAGCAATATTTTATCACTTGGGGGCGAATACATGTGTAGTGTTGTTTTCGCGTCCCAAGTCTCGTTAATCTCCTGTCATCTCGTGGTCCCACGATAATTGATTAATATCACATCCGGGACATTCACGGACCAGTTTCCCGCCTAACAATTTGCCCTGCCTTTATTTTAGGACATTCGTTTGCTACATTCCGTAATTACTTTGATGACGATCCGGGGAGAACTGGTCATGAAATATTTAACAAAACTCGCGTGAATCACGAGTAACTGAAGGATATACGGATCAGTCGTGCGCTATTTATATCACGGAACAGAATGAGGTCATGCTCACTCGAATTTTGACGCCATTTGGTCTATAGCGATCATCTATTATTATCTTATTATTATTATTATTATTATTATTATTATTATTATTATTATATTATTATTATTATTATTATTATTATTATTATTATTATTATTATTATTATTATTATTATTATTATTATTATCTTATTATTATTATTATTATTATTATTATTATTATTATTATTATTATTATTATTATTATTATTATTATTATCTTATTATTATTATTATCTTATTATTATTATTATCCATTTGCCCTTGATTGCTTGAGACCGTCGCGCAAGGTAAAATTACATTCACTGCATAATTGTGATTTTAGTATTTCATGCGAATATTCACTTATACATTATGTAAGTTTCCATGGCTACCACTTTATTCGACTTATTTATACGGCTACACTACACTGGTGACTTTTACGAATATGCTTAAGGTCCCGTTGTGAAGTTTTATCTGCACAGGTAACCAGGCGAACGATAAAGCACGTTTTAACACGCATTCTGTGGTCAACCAAGACCGTGGAACTATGGGTAATCCACTTTCGGTTGGCACTGTCATTAGTATAGTGAAATGTATGACAGACCAGTACCCGACCAGTGCCTTAGTCTACTTTGCTTCGCTCGTCATTTAGTCGGTATGCGCAGACGTGTTTCGATCATTGCAGTTTATTGTAACAGATGTGGCACGTCACGTGCACAATGCAACCAATCACAGCCATGTTTTCAAATATCAACATTTTCTTTAGAAATTATCTATTTTACAGTTGCACACACAGATTATTCTGTTTTCTCTGTAAACGTTTGGCGTTACTAGTAAACCAGGAGTGTGATGATTAATATTGTAGCAACTTCTCTTCTGGGTTATACGTATACAACAGCTGTTGATCGAATAAATATTTTCAGACGCTATTACGTTAATCGCCATAAATACCCAAATATCCGCAAACATCGTCGAATAATGAGAGAAACATTGTTTTTGTGAACAACGATGAATAAATATTTCACAGTTTGCCAAGCGATATAAATTAACTAAATGTTAGGACAAAGTACGTCCTGTCCAAATTCGCTAGAAAGTTTCTCGCCCATGCAACATAATCCTTACTATTTACGTCAATGTTTTCGAACTAAGGTCACGTTCAAGCGCAAGCCGTATTTTCCATATCTTTATTTTACATTCGCTGAGCACATCCTATTTTTATTTTCGTATGGTGAATGAGGCTAATTCCCACTGTCTATTGTCACTGGCTTTTCGGATTTAGGAATTTGATTTTTTTTAATTCCACTCAAATTGACGACCCACCATATGTTTCCTCTCTCGTTTAGTTAACACTGTGGGTTCTGACATTTTGATTCAGACTCTGAATGCAGTGATCCACAGAAATGCCCGTAACTAACCTTATGGCGTTATCGACTGACAGTACTTGAACAACTAACAGCACCGAATGGAGGATTGTACCTAAACGTATTTGTTTATTCTGATTCAAAAAATGAATAATTCTTAAATTTATTTTTAAATGGCAGAGGAGGTTGTTTTTTCCTTGACACGGGGGGGGGGTCTCCGCTCTTCTTCACAGCGCACCAAATCATGATCGGGATGGGAATCATCAGAAACCGAGAATACGTATCCCAATTTAACATCATACGATTTCTACCATCACCATCCATCAAATCGTATGAATAATGCATTCAATGTACGGCCGCACTAGTCAGTACAAATCGCTATCATTAAGAAATCACATTTTCTCACGACCCTTTCCAAATCGGTTTCCATGACAAACCCCCATTGTCGGGACAAGAATCCGGCAATGAATCTTTTTTAAAAGTCAATACGCTATCTTTGAAATCTCTTCAATTTGACTATTTGTTTTGGGAAACTTTTCCCATATCCAGACGGGTACGCATTTGATGCAAATTTCCGGACACCTGCGACAAGTCGTATACTGGGCATAACACACGTCACATGACACGCAGTCGAGGCCGCTCCGTCATCAGGGATTGATAAAGCGAAAAAAATGCATTCCATCCAGAAAACAGCATATATATTAAAACTAGCGGGTATTTTAAAATGAAAGTAGCCGTCGCGAAATGCTAATGGTCAGAACGAAAAAGCAATTGCAACATTAATGTTTTTTACGTATTATACGCATTTTCTAAGCTGCTGCCATGGCAGCCGTTCTTCGGAAACCACTGCCATATTGGCGTTGCCCAGGGAACACAACGTGCCTATAAATTCCAAGTAGTTAAAATATGCGAATCTTACCATAGACATTTATCCTGGCCTCGTGGGATGCGTCTCCTATTTGACTGGTTGCCTGGCAACGCCACAATCCTCCATCCATTACACGCAGCCCTGTGATGTTCACGTGACTGGTGACGTCACCGTCTTCGTTGATCCACTCACCGACACCGACTCGCCCGTTTTCTACCAGGGGTTGTCCGTCTAATGTCCATGTGACGTTGGGGGTCGGGTTACCGGCCACCACGCACGTTAGTTGAACATTCGGCCCAGGCTGCAAAAATTGCTCCTCAAAACTCTCTATTATGATTGGTAAGGCAGCTGTACAAAAAAAGAGAGAAACGCTATTCATTATACAGTGTACATATGTCAAAAAAGTGCGGCTCAAGCGAGCGAGGCACTAGCTAGAAACACACAAAGAACTAATCCCTTTCGTGACATTCTGATCGTGACAGGACCAACAAATGTACTGCTCTGGGTACTCGGCTGAAACGCGTTGACACGTGACTCAACGCGCGCCCAATGAACAATCACCGCTTTACGCTACGTGAAAACAAAAGCAGTTCATTATAAAAATAGGCGAAAAGACTGTTGTCCATTTCAGTTGTTGTACAGTGGCCGTATGTCGGCATTTACTCTTTCACGTATTATACCGCTTAACGGATAGAATTCCCACGAAGCAGTCAATAAACACCTTCAATTTCTTTCTTTGTTAGTGTCCATCGGACAACGAGGAATTTGTAAATAGTACTTCAACATTTCGTGGGAAATCGTCAATGTTAAAAACACATTATATTCTTATTAAAAGCAGAAAGCTTTACTGTTTAACTAAATTCGTTAGTTTGTTTTTCATTCCTGGCGTTGTCATTGTATTTTTTTTTGGGTGATATTAATTATGATCGTGAATAGTCGAGAACGTAATTTTTCCCCAATGTTATTATTCAAGCAAACATTAGTGAAAAAATCCCCACGCTAAATGACGTCAGTGCTGGGGTCCATTTGCGAATATGAGAACCGAATTCATTTCTAATGATATTGACATCATTAGGCAAGGTATGATCTCTTCCAAAAACATGCGTCTGTGTCGTCTGCGAGAAATGTCGGATTTGTATTTCTAATCAAAATCCCAAAAGGCGTTTATTTTTTACGCAATATTCCTGATTATTCATGTGATTCAGCCGTATTAGGAGTCAGAAACGGCGCCCTTAAAAATAATGGCGCCAAGTTAGCGCACGATGCGGGGGAATTACTATTTGATGAAATTCACTAATCGCGGATATGGTTTCCTCGTTTCTAAATCCTCGTTACTGGCGACCATTTCTAAACACATAACGTTTATGATAAATCTGGCCCCTCTATCGCTTCCGAATGCAATACATTACATGGAGTAAGTCCATTTTGGAACCGATTTGTTGTTCACTGCCATCTGCGACTCTCTGGAACCACGGAAGGAACGACGGATGATGCTTCCGTGAATTTGCTCTCAGAAGGAAGTACCTTTTGTCCCCAAAACTACCATTATTGTTTGATTTGTCGCATGGAGGGTCAGTGACAATATAGACACACTTTGTTTAATCATGTATAGTCCGGTTAAAGGGGCTGTTATGTCCTTTCGGGTATTTTATGTCCATAATTTGCTTCCTATACTGTCTTTCCAAAATCGTCACTAAAACCGGGCAATTTTAATATCATAATGGCTAATAATAAGCAGCTAAAAGGTTTTTAAAAAAAATATTGGTGCAATCACGATTAGCATAGTAACCGAAGTGAAATGAACATTATACACTTGGTTTAGAAGACCCGGTATGGCCCAAGCGGGTAGCCAGGCGACGATGTGGTAGGAGTGTACATATTAGACGGTCCGGGATCTTTAAATGTGACCTTTGCCTTCAGATAATATCATAGCCGTGAACTGGTAGCGATTTGAGTAGACCCCCACCCCTATTACCAACAACATACACTGTAAAACGTGTGCCCCTAGTTTTAAATTGGTCGAATTGTTGCTTCATGCAATTTACTAACTCATAACGATTTTTCACCTGTCCAAGTTATTTACGAAAAAAAACAACAATGCATTACCAGGGACATCCATCATCGCTTTTACCGCTGATTTAGTTCGTATATGCAGGGGATTAGACATCAGGCTTTTCTGGGTGTGTGTGATCGGTTTAACGAGGAAAGGGAAAATCATTAGCGTGCCGAAAAGTGGTGAAAAATCATGTCGTCTGTGCAATTTTGGGTACCATTAACTTGAAAAGTGTCACGTGATGTTCAAAAGCGAGATGTGGTCATGTTTTAAAATCAAAACCTGTATTCATAAGACGAGTGGGCTATCTGTAGAATGATGTATGTTGCAAACAATACGTTTAACTTAGGAATGGCTATCATTTGAGACCATTCATATAAATATTTTTGTGTGTAAATATTACATATTTTAGTCAATAATCTCATTCTGTTGATCACCATGGAAACGGCTTGAAATTGAAGAGTAGCTGCCAATTCCCTGTACAATTGATTTGTGCAACCAGTTTGTGTGTGTCTTTTGTTCAAAAAGGTATTCGATTCCAATGAAGTGAAAATGACAATGAGAGAAATTTTAAACAAAAATCGAACTCTGGTGTTACATTAGTACTGTGAATTCCCTAGGGGCGGATGCGATTTAGTAATACTACAACGCACCCGAGCAGACTAATGTGCGGCTTTGATACGACTATCGAATCCAGCGGCGATATGATGAAGCAGATATTGAGGCAAATGAGTGATAAAAAAAAATACTAAAGCGTGATCATGTGCCGCATGATATTATCAATTTTAACTACTTCACTGCGTCGAACTTCTCTCCGAGTGAAAAATGCCATATATAGAAAGTAACGGGAGAAAACTGTGACAGGAGGCCAATCAAAACATCGGGCTACTTGAAACCGACACATTGTCATTTATCAAATGTGATGTCAGTTTCGGTCCAATTCGCACTGAGTGTTATTCTTACACCGAGTTACTCAGAAAAAAATGTTGCCTTTCCAAACACAAAAAAATCTTTTGAATATTGGTGGGTTTTTTTTCACTAAATTACGTTACGTGTTTTATATTCGAGCATACACGATTTTAAATTTGTGTATGTTACTGAAGCGAACTTCTCTGTTTCTAGTCGCTGGAGCTGCACACATAGATAATGTTACCGGTAGTGCAACCATGATATATTCTCGGGTTGAAATAAAATTTACGGTTTTAACTGAAGGCAGCTAACTGATGAATTTGATCTCTCGGAAAGCCTGTGGGGGCTTGGGCTGCAAAACGGTTAATGAGGCCACAATCCAGGTAAAACCAACGCCTTAAATAGTATAGTAGTGACGATGACTTTGGTGGCCACCGTAGAAAGCAAGTTTCAACAGTGCTCTTACCAGTCTTGTTCACAGTTGACAAGCCTCCTTCTCGAGTGGATTCGGGTATTCCCAAAATGGCACTCGTGTTCAAATGTCGGTATATATCACCTATAGGAACGTTGTATATATTTGACACTGACATAGCTGGAGCCAACTATCAGCGTGGTCAATTAACACTTTCAATAAAAATAATACTTATTCGGTGGTCCATGGTACATGCTTATCCATACTGGATGTACATATTTGTTTTAGCAGTGGTAAAACTCACCGATGCGTTAAGCAAAATGTGCCATTATTACTGTTCTGCGATAAACCCATATCACCATAGCCTAATCTGCATATAAAACAATGGCCCGGTAATGAACGCAACCATTTTATTTCGATTCTATCATTACAAATCGTTATGTTGTGATACTACAATGTGTCCTTTTATCAGTGGTTATTTTCTCCTTGTTATTAATCAATAGTCGCATTTGTCAGTATTTTTTTTTCAAAACAGGATTGTCATCATATACACACGGGCATATGACAATGTGAGGATTGGTGCAACTTAATATTCAGAGAAAAAAAAAACATAACCAACAAAATATAAGAATCCTATGCGGTAAAAAGGATACCATTTTAAAAGCAAAAATGTCAATGTTTTCTTGTTGGTTTGAAATAAGAACAAAATAATATATGGGTGAATATTATGGAATGAAATTCCAATGCATTTTCTTTGTTTTAGACCTGGTTCCCTGTATGCGGCCATCTTTTATAGTTAAGTAATTTTACGATGAAGCAGCTCGTCACAGTTATCTTAGTTTTGGAAATTTCAGTTATTGGTGCGATAATTTCACGCCACAATCACCGTTTGACACCGCCAGCGAATATTAAAAAATCAAAATCTCTACTTGCGCGCGGGCCGTTATTCATTGAAGGAGAAGACACTGGAAGGCGCTAAAATGTATTGCGCTTAGTTCGCATTTCAGGCGCCTGTATCAACGGATCATCCACAAAATAGGCGAAAAAACACACACTCAAATCTACGACGTAGCCTGAATACATTTTAAATTTCATGGCAGGTGTTTGTTTTGCTGCAAATTGGTAAAAACAAGCTCGGAAAAAAATGAAAATATATATATCATCGAGTGTTTCACTTATCACGAGTAGAAATGAACGACGCGCTAATAACAGTTTAACGAGACGAGCGGTGTACACGCGTACACATATATTTCATATACTGTACCTTGGCTGTATATAAGATTCACTTGCTCTGCACAGCACAGAAAAAACACCAGCACGCAATACTCCCAAAATGACATTATCTTCGCCTAATACTTATAGGTATGCCATTCCACATACGCAAATTACAGCTATCCGAAGTGTGTTAGTCAGTAGTGTCCGCAATACGACCTCTCCTCGCTAGTCCCCGAATCGATCGCGAGTGACTACTGCTACATCTGTCGATGCACTCACAGAACACAACATTCGCAGTACGACTGCACTCGGGCCCAGCTGTCACTCTGAGAATAGAGCCGACCCGGCACCTTTGTAACGCCCGCGTCTATTGGTTGGTGATACGCCCCCAAATTCGTCACAACAATTGATCTGCAGCCAAGTCGGTGACCAATAAAAAGATTGTTTGCAAAACATCGCATCCCGGGCTTTATTGTTGAATCTCCCGATTCTTCATAAAAAAAGATAATCACAGCGAATGAAAGATATAAATTTGCATTACAACAAATGGAAACTATTGACTTTCCACAATTCGCTATTTAAATAAAACTCACCAGTAGTTGACCCGCGGAGTCAATGTTCTATTGTGTACCTAAGCATATTATATAGTCAGTTTATATGCGACTTGCTTCTTTCTCGGTATAGACCCATATTATATATCAAATATGTAATTATTACAAATGAATTTGACTGTTATATGAAAACATCTGTTTAGTTTAT